ATGAAGGAATGCTAAATCTGCCATTAAAATCATTGAAACAAAGTTTGATATCGGACTCATGAAGGAATGCTAAATCTGCCATTAAAATCATTGAAACAAAGTTTGATATCGGACTCATGAAGGTATGCTAAATCTGCCATTAAAATCATAGAAACAAAGTTTGATATCGGACTCATGAAGGAATGCTGAATCTGCCATTAAAATCATAGAAACAAAGTTTGATATCGGACTCATGAAGGAATGCTGAATCTGCCATTAAAATCATAGAAACAAAGTTTGATATCGGACTCATGAAGGAATGCTGAATCTGCAATTAAAATCATAGAAACAAAGTTTGATATTGGACTCAAAGAATGCAAAAATAGTTTTGGACTTCCAGGAGTCCAGAACTGTTCTAGATTTGAGTTCTATTTAGCACAGCCTTATGCACAAATAAAATGGGAGAAAATACTAGGTACCATGATGAAATTTTTACTCACCTTGGCAATCTGGCACCTAGGATTTGTCGAGGCCTGTCTTAAGATGAGGTTCTTGTATTATAGGATCAATTAGAACTGTTGTTGAACTTAAGATGAGTACAGTGTCTTATAATATAAATTTGGTCTGTTTTGTTGATATTAAGATAAGGGTGTTGTATAACAGTAAAATCTAGAACTGTTTTGTTGATCTTTGTTATCTTTACAGATGACATATAATAAAAGAGTTTGATTTTATTGTGAACTTTCACTTCTTTCCAATTATATTTACATTGAGGAAATATTTTATCAAAGAGGTTCTGTGACTTGAACTACTATACACAAGATTCACACTCAATATATATAAATAAAGCATATTGAAGTAAAATTATGGTTTAGTACTACTTTGCACAGTATTTACTCTCAAAATATTTTGTTATAAGATCTTCTGCATGACATAAAATTCTGGAATTTAAAATAAATTTGACAGCTTCTTCTCACAAGATGTCTACTTACAGGACACCCTCAGTTGCAGAAAGTTCTAGGATTAGAGATACTTTACACAGTTTCAACTCATAGAGCTTTACTGAAAGTTGCCCATCTCATACCAGAAAATGTTCTGCTTGGTGGTAATGAGCTTGTGCCTGGATTAATGGAAGGACCAGAAGACCAAGTGACTGGAAGTTAGTCATTTTACTCAACTTATTACAAGTGTAGGCTCCTACAGTAGTGTGGGGTACAAAACCAGTAAGGATAAAGAATATTAATCAAACATTAAGTCTTTCTCCTTAAAATTCAGCCTGCATAAAGTACATAAAATACTTTATAAGCACATTCCCTCATAAAGTAAGATAATACAGCATTGAAAATGGAACTTGTAAGCTCATTCCTATCATAAATTAAGGTAATACAGTAGTAAAAATGGTAGTTATATGTAACTATCAGCCTGCAACCTTACATGATAAGATGAATGAATATGGCAGTAAAAATGATAGTTAGAAGTAACTATTAGCCTGCACATTCATCTTATCATGTAAGGTAATATGGCAGTAAAAATGGTAGTTATATGTAACTATTAGCCTGCACATTCATCTTATCATGTAAGGTAATATGGCAGTAAAAATGATAGTTAGAAGTAACTATTAGCCTGCACATTCATCTTATCATGTAAGGTAATATGGCAGTAAAAATGGTAGTTATATGTAACTATCAGCCTGCACTTTCAT